GGGGGGGCTTCTGGCGGCGGGCGGCGCGTCCCGGCGGGCGGCCTCTGCGGCACCCAGCGGCGGCTGCGGCGGGGACAGCGTCAGCGGCGCGGGATCGCACCCCGCACGTGGGCGGCGGGGTGTGAGGGACGGGGCGTCTGTGTGCGGGCGGCGCACGCGGATGCGCGGCTCTGGGTGACGCTGCTACACGCGGCCGTGGGCCAGACACGCGTGCAAGGGCCGGCAGTGTGCTCACGCGCCCGTGGGCCAGGCAGAACTGCACACATGGAGGCAGCCTGCAAGCGCTTGCACGCGCGTACTTGTGCGTGAGCCATGCACACGCGTGCAAATGTGGCCCAGGGCACAAGCCCTGTGCACAGCTGTGCGCGGGCCATTGCGCACACATGCATGTGGCACAGTTGGACACGGAGCAGGCAGCGGTGCACGGGTCATGCACACAAGCAACGCACGCGTAGCTCAGGAGCGCACCAGCTATGCATGCACACACACGTGATGTGGCACAAGGGTTGCACACGTGCACAGAGCTGACATGCACACAGCACGTAGTGCACCCACCCGAGTGCACGCCGGTGCCCCCCATGCACCCCGACCCCCAGCACCCCTGCTCTCTGGGGCCGGGGGGGCCCTCACCGTGCTGCTGGCGGGCTGCAGCTGCAGGATGACGGCAGAGGCGTGCTGGAACTTGCGGGGTGCCCCATAGCAGCCGGGGTGCCCGTTGGGGGCTGTGCCTTCCGCCCCTGTCCCGTGGGGGGCTCCCGTTTTGGGTGGGGGGGCTGGGCTGGGGCTGGCAGGGGGCAGTGACTGGAGCTGGGGGGCAGCTGGACCCGGGGGGGGCTGCCCGCGGGGTGCCAGCTGTTGCTGCTGCTGCTGCTGCTGCTGCTGGATGACAAACTGCTGCTGCATCGGCTTCGGTGGTTGCTGCAGGAACTGGGGCTGCTGCAGCGGGGCGTAGGCTGTGGGGGGGAGCGCGGGGATAAGGTCCAGGGGCTTTGTCAGCAGTGCCATCCCTGAGCCCCCTCCCTCCAAGGTTGCTCCTGACCCGGCAGCATTCACTCTTGGCTGGGGTGAGGCTGTCCTAGGGGGGTAGCAGCAGCACCCTGAGGTTGGGTAACCCCAGGGGACTGGTGGGTGCTGGGGAGGGGAACAGCCTTCACCCCCAGAGCTGAGCCATGAGGAGGAACCTCCTCCCCCTCTGATCCACCGGCACTGTACACTATACAGGTTCCTGATACAGATGGGGTGCCCAGGAAACAGCAGGGAGGGCCATCATTAGGTTTCAGAGTGAACGCCTGCTGCCCTTTGCAGCACCCAATGGTCCAAGCCCCCCCCCAGCACAGTGCCTTACCTGGGGTGACGAGCGGGTGGGTGGCAGCAGGGGCAGTGGCAGTGCGGGCCATGGGGTGGGTGCGGGCATCGGGGCCCTCAGCCTTTTTGAGGTGGTCAGCAGGGTTCTCGGGTGGGGGGACCCGGGGGGGTCCGGCCCGTGGAGCGCTGCCAGGGGGTTTCATGGCGAGGGCAGGGAGGTGGGGGCCAGCGGGGCGCAGCGCCAGGCTGTGCACCTACAATGGCAGCATGTCAGTGGGGTGGGGGGGTGGAGGATGTGGAGTGCAGGGGGGGCTCACCTGGGGGGTGGCGGGCGGTGGGGCGGGTGGTGGGGCTGGCGGTGGGACAGGTGCAGGGCTCTCGGGCCGGACGGCGCTGACGGGGCCCGTGGGCGTGAAGATGAGCTGGGGGGAGAGAAGGGTGAGTGTCTGTATATGAGGGTTGTGGGGAGCACCCCGAGCGTCCCCCCATGTCCTCGTGTGATGGCAGAAGTGCGGGGCACACGGGACACTTGCCCATGTCCCTGCTCAGTGTTGCCGTTCCCCATGTCCCTTGGGTGACCCTGTGGGGTCTGGGCACTCCATATCACAGTAGTGGCCCTCTGTGGGATCTGGACAAACACTCCGTAGGATGTAGGTGTTCCATGGGATCCAGATGCCCCCCTACCCTTGCAGAGGGTACCTTCCTGAGGTGGGCCTCCAGCAGTGAGGGTGAGGAGACGCTCTATAGGTCTGGGCATCTCCTGGGGTCTGGGTACCACCCGCTGGGTGGGGACACCCCATGAAGCCCACACAGCCCATAGGATGAACAGCCCATGTAGTCTGGGCACTCCCAGGGGACAGTGGGCTCTCAATGGAGTCCAAGGAGATCTCAGAGCAGTGTGTAGTCACCCTGGGGGGTCTGGGCACCCCACAGTAAGGTGAAACATGCCCTGTGGGTTTGGGCATCCCATAAGGCCAGGGCACCTCAAAGCAGGGCAATATTCACCCTATGGAGTCAGGTGCCCCCTCGGGAGCTTCGCACCTCACAGCCAGGTGATGCTTTGGGTCTGGTCACCCCAAGGTGGAGCAGTGGGCAACCTGGGAGATCTAGGCACCCCCCAGCAGCACAAAGGGCCCCCTGTGAGCTCAAGGTCACCCTACAGGGCCTGGCTACCCCACAGCCAGGTGACAGGAAGCCTATGAGTTCTGTAGGCTCTGGTTACCCTATGGTGGAGTGATATACTCTGCATGCATCCAGCCCACCCTGCAGCACAGCGATGGGCACCCTATGAGCCGTGGGGCAAAGGGGACCCTATAGCATCTGCTTGCTGTGGGTCTGGGCCAACTTGCTGCAGGGTGATGGCCAGCCAGCAGCTCCAGCTGCCCCATAGCACCGTGGGGACAGGCACCTCTTACCATCTGTGCCCGCAGGTACATCTGTGCCTGGCTGGCTGTGAGGGCAGGTGAGGCGGCGTTGCCCAGCAGGACAGCTTGCTGCGCGATGCCTGACGCTCCGGGGTTGACGCTCTGCGCCCGGTTCAGGAGCTGGGCTGCTGCTGGCGAGGTGGCCAGATTGATCTGCAATGGGACAGTGGGTTTTGGGGCTGGGGTGGGGGCTGCGGGGTGCTCCCGGCAAGCCGGGGACTCACCGTGGGCTGCTGCACAGGCGCCTGCTGTGTGCCGTTGCTGCCAGAGGAGCCGCTCTGCCTGTTGGCTGCCAGGCTGGCCTGGGGATGGGAGCAAAGTGTTGCATGTGCATTGCACTGCAGCACCTAGGGGTGACCCCCGGGGGACGGTGTACCTGCTGCACGGCCGCCAGGCTCTGGAGCTGGGCGCTGGTGAGGTGCTGCTGCTGCAGCGCAGCCGTCTGCAGCATCAGGTGCTGCTGCTGCGCAGCATACATCTGCTGCAGGTACTGCGCTGCCGTGTTGGGCTGCCGGTGCAGGGCCTGCTGGATCACCTGTGGGGCAGCAGTGAGACCGTGGGACGCAACATCCCAAAGCCAACCCGACCACAGGACCCTGAACGCCGCTCTGCCTCACCCTGTATCCCGAGCCTCCCAGTGCATGCAGCGTTCCTGCTCTAAACCCAAGGGGAGACCCAAGCACCCCAACCCCAGCCCCATTTGTAGGGCGAGGGTAGGGTTAGGGTGTGCAGCACAGCCCTACCTGGACGGTCTGGCGGTCAGGAATGCCGCTGTAGACGGAGATCTGCGGTGCGGCTGGGCGCGTGGTGCCGGTGCTGCTGGGTGTCGTGCCGGTGCCGCCGGCGCTGCTGGAGGGCGGAGGTGCCGGGAGCTGCTCGTTCTCCATGGTGGTGGCAGGGCCACGCGGGGCGGCTGGGGTGGCCTAGAGCTGGGGGAGAGCGTGGGGGTGGGCATGGGGGTCCCATGGGTTGGGGGGAATGAGGGTGGCAGATGGAAGCAGCCCTGTGTGCTCCCGGCCCACCCCTACCCACAGCGACACTTCAAGACCTCAGGGAAAGGAAGGAAGGAAGGATGGACAGACAGAGGGATACAGGAGAGGGATGAGGGGAGGAAGTGAAGGACGGAAGGAAGCGGGATGGACAGAATGATGAATGGGAAGTGCAGCCAGGAAGGGCGGAAGGAGGAGAAGAGTGAAGGGAGGGACGGAAGGAAAGAAGGAAATGGGAAAGGACAAAGCGCAGGAGGGAAGGATGGACAGACAGACGAGGACACAAGTATGAATGGGATGGATAGAGGGATGCGTAGAAGAAAGGACGGATGGATGGAGGTAGAGAAGGGATGGAGGAATGAAAGATGGAAAGAGAGGAAGGAAGGGAAGGCAGAACAGATGGAAGGAATGAGGGGACAGACAGTAAGGACAAAGGGACAGAGGACAGAGACAGGAGCAAGGATGGAAGGAAGCAAAGAGGTAGGAGTGAAAGATGTAGGGATAGGATGAGCAGAAGGACAGACAGATGGAATTAGGGAAAGGGTGAAGGACAACAGGGGAGAGAATGACAGAGAGCAAAGGAAGAAAGAGAAGGATGGACAGAAGGATGGGAGGAAGGACAAAGGGAGGGAAGGAGGACAGACGGAAAGGTGAATGCAAACATTGAGAGGGACAAGAGAGAGAAGGGAAGGATGAACAGAATGGAACAGGAAAGCAAAGGAGTGAGGGAAGGATGGACAGAAAGATGAGAGAAGGATGGAAAGAAGTAGGAAAGGTGTGAAAGGATGGATGGACAGACAAAAATACAAAAGGAGGGAGAGAAGGATGGACAGAAAAAAGTAGGAAATGAATAAGGGGGAAGGAAAGATGGACAGAAGGAAGGACGGAAGAAGGAAAGGAGTGCAGGGATGGAAGGACGGCCAACAGGATGGGACGGGAAGAGGAAAGGGACTAAGGGAAGGGTAGGAGGAAAGGGCTGAAAGGTGTGAAGGAAGGACAGAGGGATGGAGGAACAATAGGAGAAGGACAGGAATGGAGGGAGAAGTGCTGCGTGCTGAGGGCCACTGGGGATGGTGGCGAGCAGCAGGAGCACCGCCACCACCGCCACCACCGCTCCCAGCAAAGGCCGTGCCCACACTGCCAGGCCGCGGCCCCAGCAGCCCATGGCTCTGTGGGCACCCAGGCTTTGCTGCAACCACGTGAGCCCACAGACCTCCGATAACCAGCAAGAAACCCAAGGCCCCGTGCCACCAGGGCGGGTGCCACCAGGGCGGGTGCCACGGCCAGCACCAGGGACAGCAGCGCCGGGCGCTTCACCATGGACAGCAGCCGCGGTGCCCACAGCAGGTGGCCGCGGTGGCCGCGCCAGGTGACCCCGGAGGCCACGCCACAGCCTGGCAGGGACGAACACAGCGCGAGGCGGCGGCAGCGGGACAGCAGGACGTGGCAGCGCGACGTCCCCGCGCTCAGCGGCGTGAGGCCACGGGGCCACGTCCCCGGAGGGCGCTGCTGCGCCGGTGCGGAGTGGGGACGCGCACAGGTGGGACGCAGAAGCACGCTGGAGGTGGCTGCCGAAATGCCCGCCGGTGGCCGCGTGCCCGCGGCGTGGCCGTGACATCCGCCGCGCTCCGCTCTCAGCGCCGCAGGGTTTGGACGCGTGGGCCGTGGCTTTATCCGTCAGCTGTGCCGTGACATCCCGGCGGCATCGGGGCGTCCTCACGCGTGGGGTCGCGACGGAGCCGTGAGCGCAGCGAGGAGCGTCCCCGCCGCCCCGCATTCGACCCCGTGTGAGGGACAGGGAGGCGGCGGGGCGGTGACACGCACGGCGGGGCTCCGCGGCCTCGAACCCCACGCGGGGCGGAGCGGCGCGCGGTGCCCCCGCAGCCACGGGCGGCTCTCGGTTCTCCCACCGTCGCACGTGGAGCGGCCGCGCGGGTCCGGCCGAGCCCCCGCCCGGGGCGGTGGGAGCACGGGGAGGGAGCCGGGCGCACGGCGGACATCGGTGCGTCCGCCTCCCCCCCCGCCCCCCGCGGCGACGGGGAAACTGAGGCACGGCGGCCGGGACGCGCGGACCCCCGACAGCCGGACGCGTGCGCGGCCCGCCCCCCCCCCGCCCCCCCGCGGCCCAGACAAAGCGGCGGGGCCCGGCGCTCGGTACCTGCGGCCCCGCGGCCCGGCTCCCGCCGGCCATGACGGAGGCGCCTCCCGGGGTTGCGGCCGCGCGGGCCGGCGGGGCGGGGCGGGGCGGGGCGGGGCTACCGGGGAGGGGCGTGGTCAGCGCGAAGGGGCGTGGCCTGCTTCCCTCCCGCCGGGGCGGTGCAGCGCTCCCTCGGGCGGCGGCGCGGCCATCGCTCATTTGCATTCCGCCGCTCGTCACGTGCGCCGCGTGGCCAATCGGAAAGCGGGCCGGCCCGCCGGCCACGCCCCCCGCTCCAGCGGCTCGCGCTCGCTATGGCAACGGGGAGGAGGGAGGGGGAGGGCCGGGCGCCATGGCAACGGGGGGCGGGGCTGCCCGCGCGCTGCCCCGCGACGGGGCGGGGCCGGAAACGGGAACGGCGACCCCATAGGGAGTGGGGGGCGGGGGGAGGGGGGTGCAGCCTGCTGCCAAGCGGGTTGCGAGTAGGGCGTGTGCAGGGCGTGGGGTGCGTGTGGCTGACTTGCGAAGGGCGAGGTGCCCGAGGTAAGCCTGCAAAGTGCAAAAAGCAGGCGTGCAAAGTGCAAAAAGCAGGCGTGCAAAGTGTGAGCACGAGAGAGCAAGAAATGGGGTGCAGGCTGCAAATGTGGAAAGGAGTGGAGATGGTAGTCTCGCAGGGAGCAGGGTGCAAGAAGCTAGAAGAAAAAGAAATGGGTGCAAATAGCAACCCTGCAAAAAAACGGGGTGCCAAGGGGAAGAGTGGAAAAGATGGGGTGGATGGGGTTCAAAGTGCAAACCCACAAAGGGCAGGGGGAGCAAGGCCAGATTGTGGAAAATGAGGCGCATACAGCAAATCTGCAAAAATTTTGGTAGCCCTGGAAGCACGGAGTCTCAAAAGCCATGAGCAGTGCATGCAACCACAGTGCTCCTAAAGGGCTCCTAGATGTGCAGTGGGACCCCGGGATTTGCAGGTGGGTTTGTAAAGGGGATGCACGTGGGGCCTGGGTCTGCTGCGAGATGCATGGATTTGCAGGAAGGGCCTGGGAGTTTGCAGGTGGGCACGAGGGGCTCACAGGATCGGCTGTGACTGCAGTGTGCCCTTGGTGCTCGGGCACAACAGTGCTGCTCACACCTGGGGACACTGCCAACACTCAGGGCTTGGGGACGGAGCTGCACGGGGTTTGGGGAACGTTGGGGCTGCGCGGCTGGAGCCACCAGAGGGCAATGGCTGCCCTTCAGTGAAGCCTGCAGAATGAGGATGGGGCTGAGCGTTATCCCTTCTCTTTTTTTTGGCTCCTTTTGCTATGCAGGGAGCCAACAACTATCTCTGGGCAGCGAGGAGCAGCGGGGGTGCAGCCCCCAAGGGACATGCTGGGGGTGCTGCACCCTGCCACAGTCTCATAGCAGCATGTGTCCCAAACCGCACGCTTTTCAGCCCAAAAAGGAGACGACTCGCGAGGCCACCACCAGTGCGGACGCTGGGAGCCAAATGGCCACGCTGTGCCAGGCACGTGGCAGCACAGGGTCGGTGTCCCTCCGGTACCAATCACGTTGTGCTTGGAGGGACTCAGCCTGGGCGTAGCAGCAGGCCTCAGTCTTGTCTTGGCTGCTGTCCCCACCTCTGTGCTGTGCGGCGCCATTGCTGTGAGGAGTGCCCTGGGTGCAGGGTGGCGTGGAGACACGGCTCAAAGTACAGCACGGCCTGGCACCAAGGGCAGCATGAGGCCTGGCACTGGGCCTAGCACAGGACCAAGCACTGGGCCCAGCACCAGGCCAACGTCGGGCCCAGCACTGAGCCCAGCACCGGGCCAGGCCTTGCGCCTGATGCCATCTCCCTTCTCGCACCGGGGAGCCGGGCGGGAACAGCTTGAAAGCCCGACTGCTCATTGTCTGCACCCAGCGGGGCGGCCATTCAGGCCGGGCCACGCTGAGGGCTGGGTTTCCACTTGGAAATTTCCCTCCGGACGCGACTGGGGGCCGCTCGTCCCTCCCGCCGCCCCGCGCGTGGGCTCGGAGGGCGCAAATATTTGTGTGGACACAAAGGCGCGCGGGTGCTGGGGGGAACAAAGCACGGACGCGTCGCATCCCCGTGAACAATGGGGCCGGATATTTGGCAATGTGAGCGGGGCGCTGCCGGAGCTGCCTCACATCCGCCTACCTGCAGCCCCTGGGTGGGCCCACGGCATCCCGCGGCCCGGCAGCCTCACGGGCAGCGTGTTGGCTCCGAGGGGGGGACGAAGAGCCCTTCTGGGCGGTCCCGTCTCCCTGTGAGCATCCTGCCCCGATGTGGGGTGCTGCAGCGGTGGAAAGAGGCGCTGCCACGACCCGACTGCGCTGAGTGCCGTTGGTCCTCCTTTAAGAGGGCTGTCACCCTGCTGTCTGACTCCCAAAGCCCTCCCCTCCCCTCTGAGCCCTGGGGGACATCCTCCCATGGGGATCACTGTGCTCCTCCTAGGGTTTGTGTTTCCCCTGACCTCTTTTCTGGAGCAAATCACTTCCAAATTCTTCCCCTTTGAGCTTCTTCCCCCTTGAGCGCTGCAGTAGCTGCTAGTGGCATCCCAAAGCGCTGTCAGCCCCCACGTTCCCAAAGCATCACCCTCTGGGAAGGCTGTTGGAAGGGGTCCAGAGACAGCAGAGCCTTGGCGAGAAGGCAAGAGAAGGGGACGAATGGGTTATGCAAGCGCGCCTTGTCACATTTTGGGTTTTGTTGTATTTCTGCACCTTGGATGCAGGTATTTTTCCAAAGGAAATCGCCCAGTGACGCAGCTCCTCCTGCGCCGACGCCTCCGTCCCCA